AAAAGGCGGTAGATAAACCGCATGATACTCGTGATTCCCTGGCAATATGGCATAAGCAATTCGATCCTTCGATACGACTGAAAGCACATCACTAATAAACAACCTATTAAGTGTATGATAAAAGATAAAGTAACCTGAGTTATTTCCTTGGCCTTCGATATATTTAAGTCGTCTGAAATTATCCTACCTACAGAGGTAACTGTTGCATTTGGTTTACATGTAATAAAAATAATAATAAACACGGTAAAAAATGAAAATATAATTCAATAACAGACATAATCGTAGATGGACTAATTTATTGATATCAGTAACGTTGATTCAACATATCTCGTGTGATAAAAGGTGTGATTATCGTATCGTAATATATCTGGCGAAATTGTGTATAAGTTTATGCTACTTTATAGTGAGCACTAGAGTGATATGTACGAACGTTAATTTTTTTAGACCATTTTGAAGTTATGCTTGTGTATCTAAAATGTGGCTTATTTTATTGCCATGTACATTATTATGTCTTGTGTTTTTATCTTTTATGATAAAAATTTACATGAAGTTTTATACGAAAATGTGTCGCTCGAACGTACACATGGTTGGGAAAGTAGTGATTGTCACTGGAGGAAATAGTGGGATAGGTTTAGAAACAGCCAAAAACTTATCGGAACGTGGTGCAAAGGTAATAATTGCATGTCGAAGCGCTTACCGCGCCCGTGTAGCGGCAGAAGAAATCATCAAAGCGACTGGTAACACAAATGTTCGCTATGAACTAGTAGATTTGGCATCACTGCAGTCAGTGCGCGAGTTTTGTTCGAAGATCATAAAAACAGAAGAACGTCTAGATGTCCTTATCAACAATGCAGCGGCTGGTGGTCTTGGAAATAGTAAAACAGAAGATGGTTTACATATAGGAATGCAAGTGAACTATTTTGGTCCATTTTTACTTACCTATTTGTTATTGCCAATTTTGAAATCGTCTGCCCCCAGTCGAATAATAAATCTCTCGTCAGTTGCACATATTTATGGTGAGATAGATTTTGAAAATCTTAATATGGAAAAATATTGGAGCGATTATTTAGTTTATGCGAACAGCAAATTGTTTATCAACCTGATGTCTTTAGAACTGAGTCGAAGATTGAAAGATTCGAATGTTACAGTTAATTGTCTGCATCCCGGATGTGCAGCAACGAATATTTTCAGAAACATAAAAATATCAGTTATTCGTTCAATTCTTTTAAAATCAATAAGCTTCTTGTTTCAAGACGCTTGGGAGGCTTCACAGACTACTGTTTACTTGGCAGTTTCGCCAGATTTAGCAAATGTTAGTGGTCGTTACTTTAGTAACTGCCAGGAAAAAAAACCTTCACAGCTTTCACTTGATTCGGAATTAGCTAGAAAACTGTGGACTGTATCGGAGAAATTAGTAAACATTTCGGAATCGACTTAAAATGCTGTCAAAATGAAAACACTTCGATTCCAGTAAATATTTATTCATATAATTATTCCATTCCATATTAGTAATCCTTGTATTATATAGTCCCTCAAGTCAACAAATCAAAAACATTGTATTTACTTTTGTAATTTATATGATAATCAGTTATATTTCCGTCAATTTACAGTTATATTGCATTTACTATTTTTTTTATATATATTTGATAAAAATTCAAGTTTATTTTTATAAAATTATGCTCAGGCTTCAGAAGATTCGTAAGGAAACTTATGTTACCGTTTCGAATACAAGTTATTCACATATATGTGTATTTGTTATATACCTTTATATTGATTGAATTACATAAATTTTATTTAAAAATTTAGTTCATTATTTAAATAATTGCATATAATCACATAAATAATAAACCTATACATCTTTTTATTTTAATCCACGTAATATTTAATAATGAAAACCCAAAAAAAACTTGTTCCCCGCATTACTTCAATATAATGAAATAAGTAGTTGATAAATTGTTATAATAAACATCATGCTAACGTATTTCCTGAACTAATAAATACACATCAAAAAATAACAAATAAATACAATATTTTTTGTATGTGTAATCGGCTAATAAAACTATTGGATAAGTTCACAAAAACTCCAGACACAATTTAGTTTGGTATCATCCTTCTCTCAATGCTTGTCTTCCGTTCCCGATAAATCAATTATCTTGTCCTGTTTCCTTGGGAAAGAAAATAAGCAATCACTTCGAAAATAAGCCGTCTTTTTGCTTTTTATAGTTTGCGAGACATAATGGAAGTATACTTTATCCAGTTTCCCAAAACTATTTACTATTTACAGTGAAACATGAGAACTCGTTAATTTAATAATAATTTTATATTATAATATTATACCACTTGAATACTTTTGTCCGTGGGAGGCCTATGTTCAGCAGTGGTCTCTAACATGGTGAAATGATGATGATAGAAAAATTTTCGCGTACCATCTCTTTGTGATTGCTTTGAATTTGCATTTCTATAGAAATTCTAGATATTATTTTTTCTTATATAACACTTTTATGCAGAGAAATCATTACGTTTCCATAATATAGTTGTATGGCACAAATACGTTCTTAAGGGTCTTATTTTTTCCACTTATAATGATCGTTATCATTAACTGTAATAATTATATTGTTACGTGTTAGGGTTCGAAGGATTTGGAGAGAAAGACCTGCTGACTCTTTTGAAGACTTTTATTAGCTAGTACTAGGTCCGACACAAAGCACTAGGTCCAAACACTAAGCACTAACGATGTCCTAGGTTGTAGCCAAGTCGTAGGTTTCACTAGTATCGCTCTTGATCACTAGTTTTCACTCTGAAGTCGCCTCGAAGATAGCTCAAACTGAACTGTCTCGCTCGCCTACCTGCGGCTTTTTATATGGGCCGAGACGAGTCCCAGACTAATCCAGAAAGTTCCTTCCTGGAACGTACCCGACACGCGCGAACATGATCGTGATTCTGGAAAGTTCGCGAATGTACCCGATTTTCGAGACTATAGTTCCACAGTAGTTCCTCTAACGCCATCTAGTATTGAGTAGGGGGTTTTATGTTGTCTTTGTTCGTTCAGTGGTTTTACTGGTTGACGCTAGACGGCGCTAGTTTCTTGGTGTATTCGTAATAATATAATTATACTAACATAATGATATATGTTTTAATTTAGAAATAAACCTTCGATTTATTTGACGTATTTAAAACATTGCCTTGACGACACATGACAGTAAACATTATTGATCTAGATTTTTAGCTAGCTCGCAGAAATAACGGAAAGTTAAAAAAATAGTACTATATTATTATTATCAACAGTATTATATTTCCAATAACTTAAAATGTTATCCCCTGTGCTAGTGTTTGTAAAAAAGGCTTTAAATTCAATTCATAACGGTTTAATTAAATTATTTGGAATTGTTGGTGAATAAAGTCATTATTGGTTGCCATGACTGTAATTTCGTTTAGGAAAAATTCCTAAAATTTTTTTCGCCAAATGCGTACCGTACGATGAGGATCTTCGATCCAATACATAATATATTACACTGCAGACCGCTTGTACGCGTCGAACAGAATCGGCGAAGGTTTTGTGACTGCGAATGCAGCGAAGCGGACGCAAAAGCGGACCGCTCCAAATCCCTTATTCAATACCTGTCGGATGACGTCGCGGAATTTTCACGCCCACAGCCCCAAAGGGTAGAACCTGATCGGTACTTATACGTAAAAAGCGTTCGCAGCGCCGCGCAATTTACGGCTGTCAGCGTCACACCTACCGTTTAGGATTTTACGGTCGCGTGGTGTTATTATTATCGCGTATTTTAAAGGCTCACCTTGTGGTGATTTCATATATAGTCGGGTATATCGATACCACTGCGATTTTAAGCTAGTTTTATACTGCGTTTCAGCTGATGACTGAGATAACAGGAGCCCCCTTTTACTGGTGGGCTAACGGTAATCACTTAACATCAGGTGGTACGGTAATCACTTAACATCAGCAGAACTACCTGTTCGCGTGCCAACTTTGAACAGAATAAAAAACTTGATTAATGTAAATAAATGACAGTAATATGTAAACTGACTAACTTCTAACAGAGAATGACGATGGAAATACATTTATTTTAAAAAGACAAAAAAAAAACGTTTTCTTTAACTATCTCGTTAGTTCTAGAAATCCCTTCGCATGGAGAATTACTTTACCCGAATGTTTCTCTTATATGACTAACCCAAGTATTATTATTATTACAAATTATATATTTACAATCTTGTTTAAAACTTTACTTCGCCGTCAAATACAAATACATTTAAAATCAGCGGTTCATGAAATTAATTGACTGATGATACCCATCCTCGTTACACTATCGGGAATAAAAACTTCACTCAATGACGACTTTTGTCGACGGAAATCAATATTTTGTATTGAAAATATTCTACCACCGAATACGAAATGTATAATAGCTATTGACACCTTTACTAACTAAAATAAAGTGTTCTTGTTTGATAATCAATTGCTTTTCATGAAAACAAGAGAAATTATCAAAACTTTATGTTTTGCAATCACCAACGTAAACTTTTCTGGACCACAATCTTGAACCGCCTCTTAAAACTGTGCATTTAACTTTTTTCGGGGGTAGGCATTAAAAAGACCGTGTGTGCTCTTGCGAAAACTTTGGTAAATAATTTATTCTAAAGTATTTTAACACATTTTGTACGGTAAAATCTTAACTTCAATAATCATACTTACATATCAGTTTTGGGCACCACTTCAAATGCCATAATAGTGTAACTATAAGCTATATCCACTGGTGACTTCTCAAAAGTGCAACTGTCAATCATACTACTAAAGTTTGATATACACCTTGATTACTATGTCCAACTTAGAACTTATAAAAGCTACACAGAAGAACATGGAAACCACCATCATGAAAAAAATGAACAAACTTGAAGCACAGCTTTCTGCTCCTAAAATTACAGAATCACTGAATCTGGCAGATGAGTTCTATGCATTTCGTAGTTATGTACAAGATATGTTTTCAATGCTACAGCTTCTCATCAATGAGGTGCAGATGGCGACAGATAGCATAGAGATGCGACACAGGAAAAAATATCTTCTTCTTGGTGGGGTCCCAGAAAAACCCAATGAAGATGTCCCTCATGTGATTCTATCCATCCTCAATAAAAATCTTGGCTTCAAGGATGTCACATCATCCTCACTGTTGTCAGCTCATAGACTGGGATTGGAATCTAAAGACCATATCCGTCCCATACTATTTAGATTCACTGATGTTGCTCTCCGTGGGCAGGTTTGGAAGAAGAAGACATCACTCAAGGGCACTCCTTATGTTATGTCTGAATTTTTAACCAAGCTCAGGCAATCACTGTTCCTTGAGACTCGCAAACACTTTGGAATGAGGTCAGTTTGGACTTCTGATGGAAGTGTATATGTGAAGTTGAATAATGGGAGCCGTGCACGTATACAATCCAAAAAAGAACTAGAACACTTGGTTGCTGATCAAATCAAGGACCCACCGGCTCCTTCAAACACTGGCTCAGAACAGGAAACAAGTGCTCAGACGCCTGCGAAGACTGCTCATATTCGTCCGAAACGTTTACGCCGCTAGGAGATAATTCTTCAGTTTGTCATTTTATTACTTTTGTTCGTTAGCATGTAGGTTATTGGTTGATATTATCGATTCATTTCATATGTAAGTCCCAGAATGTTTTTCTTTCTCGGTTAAATGTACTCTTATTTTTTTTATTTATTTTATTTTCTTTTTTCGGCGGTTTTTAATGATTACGCTAATGAACACTTTTAATTTTTAATCTCTGTTACATTATTAATTTATATAAAACATAGTTAAAGAATATAGGTTAATATTTAAAGTGTTTATATTTAGTATTTACTTTATTAAATTGACGTTTGACATTTTGACGTCCATTGTCATAAACATACACTGGCGTTGCGTTCGGAAATTTTATGTTGATCACACCGCATCAATAATTAACATCATTGTTGGCTTTAAGGTATCGGTTAATTATTTTTTATTTTTTATTTCTTTTTTTTTTTAATTATAACAGCTATAGAATACCTACATGTTACATGACGATTTTTTTCATACGAAAATTTATTTTTATTTTTACTTTGTTTTGTTAAATTGACCTTAGTTCATAAGTTTCTAGGTTAAGGGTATTTTGATTATACTTGATTATGTAAACAGTCAACCGGTGGATAGCTATGTAATATTAAGTAATTTTAATTGTATTATTATTGTATTGTCGAATTATTTATATTAGTTTATTTATTTTGTTTATATATTATGTCAAGTCATGGGTCCTATTTCACTGCTCTCGACTCAGACTCCTCTTTAGAATATTCTTGTGCTTCAGACAACTCTCTATCCTTAGGTTCAAGTCTTGCTGAAAAATTTTCTAATTACTCCAATAACTTCAATATTTGCCATATTAACGCCCAAAGTATTCCTCAACATTACTCCGATCTTATTGATTCGTTTAATTGTTCTTCTCTTCACGCAGTACTAGTATCTGAGAGCTGGCTTAAACCATCTTTACAATCCACCTCCTATGGTCTACCTGGCTTTGTACTCATAAGGAATGACCGCACTGGAAAAGGTGGCGGGGGCGTGGCGATCTATCTGCGTAGTGATATTCAGTTCAAAACTCTGTCTGTTTCTCCATCTCCATATTCTTCTTCTCCTGAATACATCCTCCTCGAAATCAATTTCCGTGGCTCCAAAGCAGTTCTAGGTGTAGTATATTGTCCACCTTCTATCGACTATTTTAATCAACTTGAAGCTATTCTTTCCCCTGTGGCTTCGGAGTACAAGCATCACATTATCATGGGCGACTTTAATACTAACCTCTTAATTAAGAACGTTCGTACACAGAAGTTCCATACACTTATTACTTCTGTCAACTTTTCTATACTTCCCTTGGATCCTACTTATCATAACATAGATACAGCTGATTCTTGGATTGATATTATTCTTATTTCTTCTCCCAACTATGTTGCGGAACATGGACAACTGTCCGCTCCAGGTTTCTCTCGTCATGACCTACTGTTTGTGTCGTATAAACTTAAGCCACCTAAAACAAAGCCAATTGTTCTGTACAAGCGCATTTTTTTCCAAACTCAATAACGATGAGCTATGCCGTGACGCTGCCTTGATTGACTGGACTGCGACGCTAAACCATACTTCAATAGATGAAAAGCTTTCTGATCTAAATAGCTCTCTTCAGGCTTTGTATGACCTGCACGCACCATATAAACGTGTCATCATCAGGCGGCCCGCGGCTCCTTGGATTACTCCTGACGTCCGTGCAGCCATGGTTAAGCGTGATAGAGCCTTCCGAATTGTAAGAAAAACCGGTGTGAGATTACTTGGTCAGCTTTTAAGGTTGCCAGAAATCGTTGTAACAGGATGGTAAGGGCTGCGAAACGACGACATATCCATGCTGGTGTTCTCCAGTCTTCATCGGCTAAAATATGGAAGTTTCTCAATTCTCTCGGCTTCGGAACTCAACCTTTGACGCAACCTCTCCAATTACCTATCAACGACCTTAATTCTTTCTTTACGTCTGTCCCTTCTCTCACGAATGTTGTCAAGAGTTCCACAATTTCACTAATTAATTCCATGCCTGTTCCAGATATTGATCCTTTTGATTTGTCCCCTGTAACAACTATGGTAGTCCACAAAACTATACTTTCAATCAAATCGAATGCGACTGGGTACGACAACATCAGTCGAACGATGATTGTTCGTATTATGGATCAAATCCTTCCCATTTTAACCCACATTATTAACTTCTCTCTTACCTCTGGTGCTTTTCCTGATATTTGGCGTAAAGCTTTTGTAACACCAATTCCCAAAATTGCAACTCCCTCTTTACCTTCTCATTATAGACCCATTAGTATTCTTCCCTATCTATCCAAAATTATTGAAGCTATCGTCCATAAACAACTTTCTGATTTCGTCCACAAGAATAATATTTTAAACGAGTTTCAATCCGGCTTCCGGGCTGGTCATAGCACTACTACTGCACTGTTGAAAATTGTGGACGATGTCAGGAAAGGAATAGAGGATGCTAAATTTACAATCTTAGTTTTAATTGATTTTTCTAATGCTTTCAATACTGTCAATCACGATATCCTTCTTGCTGTCCTTAATCATTTCAGACTCTCTTCTTCAGCCCAGCAATGGTTTTCTTCCTATCTACGCGGACGCCAGCAGGCCATCCGCTCTGATGGAAATATCTCCGATTGGGCAGACCTGACTGCTGGTGTCCCGCAAGGGGGCATCCTTTCTCCCTTACTTTTTAGTATTTTTATTGACCTCATCACTCTACGTCTGAAAAGCTCTTACCATCTTTATGCTGATGATTTGCAGCTATATGTTCAAGGAACTATTGACGAGCTCAACAAATCTATTGCAGCCATTAACGCTGACCTGGTCCAGATTCGGGACTGGTCAAACAGGTTTGGCGTCGCTGTAAATCCATCTAAGTGTCAGGCAATCATTATTGGCAGTTCTCATCGGATAAATTCACTAGACCACAAACTTATTTCACCTGTTGTCTTTAATGGCACATGTATACCTTTCTCACCACAAGTTAAAAACTTAGGGCTAATTATTGACAACAGCTTATCGTGGACATCTCATGTTACAAATATTTGCTGTAAGGTGAATAATACACTAAGATGTCTGTTCCGCTATAAGTATTTTCTCCCCTCGTGCACACTAAACTGTTACTGGTACAGACGTTGGTGCTGCCGATAATTGATTATGCTGATGTTTGTTACTCGGATGCAAATAAGGATCTTCTTAATAAGCTTGACCAACTCCTAAATAATTGTATAAGGTTCATATATGGACTTCGAAAATTTGACCACATTTCCCATTTTCGAAGTCAGCTAAATTGGTTGCAGATTCGCGAGCGTAGAAACAGTCACATTCTTCGTACCCTATTTTCTATCCTCTTTGATCCCATCGTTCCCAACTATCTGAAACAAAAATTTTCCTTCCAATCTGATGCTCACTCTCGCAACCTTCGCTCTGATCACAATCTCTCCCTTCATATTTCTCTTTATCGTTCCCGCCTTATGTCCAACTCCTTTCAAGGTCAAGCTGTACGGCTCTGGAACTCGCTACCCATCTCAATCAGAAATTGTCTGACTAAAGAGAGTTTTAAACGTGCTGTCTTTAAATTTTATTTAGATAATCGACAATGTTGAACACTGACTTGCTTGAATTTCCACTTCTTGACATTATTCTAAAATATCTAATACTATATGGGTATGTATACATTTGTGTATGTATATTTGTATTATATATATATGTATATGTGTATATATATATATATATACATACATATATATGTAGTAGCTATATATATATATATATATATTAGTATATGTGTATATTTATGTAATATGTATGTAATATTTTATATATTATCATATTCTTTACTATCTCATCTGGCTCTTTCGCACCTCCTTATTCTCTCTGCTTATTTGTCGGTTGACTGGTAGAGAACACCTAATGGTGTTAAGTCCGCCATTGTACGTTATTGTGCATAAAGTTTTTAAATAAATAAATAATAAATAAATAAATAATGGGGTCAATCCCCACTATTGGAGCCGTCCTTTTCTCGCACAAAAATGTGCCCCATCCACCCCCCGTTAAACTCGTGGATAGCCCGGTTCCATGGTTGTCTCTCCCTGTCTTCTGCTAACGAGGTGGAGTCGCGGAGGAAGAGGGTGTCGGTATTGCGTTGGCCGCGCTCCCTATCCTCCGCGACTCGGCAGGGCTGCACCGTTGATGCAGCGGTGGTGAGGCCGCGGGAGGAGAGGAGCGTCGGTATTGCGGTGCACCGTTCTCCGTACCATCCGCGGCCGAAACGTGTTGAGCGGCGGAGCCACAGACCAGGCCCGCCACTGGGGACTGAGAGACTTGCTGCTTATTGGCACTGGCTCTCCTGGCTCCCATGGCCCCTGGTCAGCGAACGCGGGGGAAGTTCGTTCGAAAAAGGGCCGTGTAGGAAGGCGCGCTGAATGTTCCAGCACGCCTTACCTGGAAGAGAGGGGAGTTGATCCGCGGGAGGGGGCTGCTGAGGCAGCCAGCGCTGGCAGGGTCGCGGAAGTGTGCGAAAGCGTTCTCGTGACTCTGCCGATATGCGCATACATCGTGGGGGTTTTATTTATAAAAGAAAATTAAGTTTATGTATGTTTATAAGTACCCAAATTACAAGCGGGACGGATTTGCTTAGTTTGGGACTAGAGAGCGTTGTGTAAAATGTGTCCTAAAATATACATATATATATATATATTTTTTTACCGCCAACGTATAACTTGAAATCCAAATTCTCGAGTAGGTTTTGGATTCCAGTTTATGTATACAGTGGTTACGTTTTCTAGATTTTGCCATGCGTGTTGCTTGATAAAAAAATATCCTGTCTGCATATAAAATAGGACTCAAGCACTCCTTAATGATCTTTTCCCTGACCTCTTAGCGAGGCTTACTTTCTTAATTTATATTTGGCAACGTCTAGCCCAAGTTCAACAATTAAAAGGCTTAACAGTGCCGTAAGATGCGGTCCCCTCATTAGCAGCTTACCGGTCCGGCGGTGTAATTTTATACAGATTATGCATTGAAAAACCTCAGGGCGGAAGAGGTAAAAAGTTATTTTCTTAGAAGTTATTCGTTAATAACTTCACAAAATTATTTTTCCTATCCAGTGATTATATAGCATGAAACTTTTTACCACATTCTTATTCACCACCACAAACCAATTACCGCATCCAGGGGCCGTAAAATAAAATTCTATAAAATCCGCGTTTAAAAAATAGTTTTAGCTTACAATGTGTAGTATTCACATTAATAAGTCAACAAACAGGAGCGACTAAAAAAATTCTGAATGAACTTAAAATGCTTAGCAAATATCTAAGATCTTAAGTAATAAAAATACTTCATAATGAAAAGATTTAATTTCCTGAAAAACAAAATGGATATAAACACTATGATATGATGTTATAGCTAATATGTCTCACTATATATTTAATATTAAAATTCATAAAATTTAATTGAATGAAAATAAGCTAATCTTTATTTTATTATATTTACTATTTCCGACATTGACATTTTGTATTAAAACGGAAATAAAACATTATAAAGTTATATTGAATATTAATGGCTATTAAAATAGCTAACGCCTAAAAATGTCATGGCCGACGATCATTAAAAGGCCGGAAGTAGATGAATTTAAAAAAAAAAGATTACATATGACAATCATTTTCGTTTTTTTATTTATTTATGTAATTCATATCAAACTCTTTTTAAATTGTGCAAATGTATTTCAATCTTTAATTAATATGCCAAGTTTTTTTTATTAAGGACAAATCTAACCGTATCTTAATGTTCGTTCTTAATATCTGACATATGCAAAAATAGTCGTTTCATTTGTCTGCTATTTTAATTTAAGTATTATTTATAGTTATTTCTAAATCCGCAACTTTATATGATTTTTAAACATTTTACTAAGAATTGTTAGTTGATTTTCTTGAAGTAACTAATGGTGTTTTATATAATTGACTAAGAACAGTTTTTATAACGTAAAACTAATTTCAAATAAATTTCGTCCGAAATTAAAGGGACAAAAAATATATTACTTTGGTAAATTATAAGGATAATTGAACAAAAATATCAATTGAAAATCGTTAGCGCCTAATTTTAATGTCGCCGCAATGTGACGTTATATATATATATATATATATTGCTATTTGGCAACATTTTTGTTTGCTCTTATTTTTATGCATTCTGATAATCAATCATTTTTATAAAATAAACAGCAAAAAGCAGCTAAAGTCTTTGAAAACTTAACACACTATATGCAAGTTAACCAGTAACCTTTTTTCCTTTACCTCAAAGAAATTGCTCAGAAAGGAACATGCTTCAAGGTGCCTATTATTTTGTATAGTTTTTTTTTATTACTAGTTTAATGTTTTCGTAAACATGTAAAAATACTAAAAGTATTAGGTAATTTAACTGAATTAGACAATAATTTACTAAATAAAAACATTTAGTAAGAATTTTATACTTTTTAATTTGTTAGAAATAATACACCAAGGTCACTAGAGATGATAAACTTGATGAACTACCTTGATAACTCATATATTTGTCAGTGTACTGAAAGTGATTTTAGTGATAATTTTATAATTAACGTTGGTTGTACGTATATTGTGATTTACGTTTACTCACTGGGCGACTGTCATCCGCAGCAAAACCGACTTCCTTGTCAGTCCGAAATAATTAACACTCAAGGCGACTTTTTTTTAGAGTGGTACGAATTTCAATGGCACATTGCGCAAGCGGCGTCAACAGCAATCGGGCACTCGACGCGTACGCACGCGTATCACACTGTTCCATATATAAAACACGTGCAAATCACTTTCGTAGTCAGCCGCTACGTTGAAATATGTAGAGAAAATGTACCAAACGTTTCACGTTGTGAGCGTCACGTATCAAACGTTTCAATCTTCACGTGTGAGCGTCCTAGTCGCTTCGATAGCCCGCCGTCGATTAACGTGTCCATAGACAAACGCCTCCGTGACCCAGTTACCAAGAGTGTGAATTTTTCGCTTCGAAATATTCATTTTTTAAACAATTTCTTTCTGCTATAAGTGACACCGTTTACAAAATGTTTCTGTGGGTGCTAGTGTTGTTCTCTGCGCTAATTGTTGTCGTTGTGAAAGTATACCAGCAGCTGACATGTGGCATTTGCCGGTCCACCGCACATATGGTCGGAAAGGTGGTAATTATCACGGGCGGCAGCAGTGGCATCGGGCTGGAAACGGCCACGAATCTGGCCGAGCGTGGCGCTAAAGTGATTATTGCATGTCGCAGTGTGCGACGCGCCGCTGCAGCAAAGTTGGAAATCATAAAAAAGACGGGCAACACAAATGTTCATCACCGTCCGTTAGATCTGTCTTCTTTGCGATCGGTGCGAGAATTTTGCAATCTGATCTTGAAAACGGAGCAGCGCTTAGACGTCCTTATCAACAACGCGGCGGCCGGTGGTCTCGGAAATGAAAAAACCGAAGACGGACTACACAGAGGAATGCAAGTGAATTACTATGGCCCTTTTTTATTGACATGCTTGTTATTACCATTGCTGAAGACATCCGCTCCTAGTCGTATTATAAATGTATCGTCGTCTATGCACAAATATGGGGAGATGGATTTCGAAAATTTGAATATGGAGAAGTACTGGAGTGACCACTTGGTCTATGCGAATAGTAAACTGTTTCTGAACCTAATGACTTTGGAACTCAGTCGAAGATTGAGAGGAACTAATGTCACGGTAAATTCTTTGCATCCGGGAGTAACGGCGCATACTGTTTATAAAAATGTAAAGAATTCAATTGTGCGAGATTTGGTTAACGCACTCGTTAATTTTCTTAATAAGGACCTTTGGCAAGCCTCGCAGACATCCATATACTTAGCTGTGTCACCAGACGTAAAGGATATAAGTGGTAGATACTTCAGCGATTGCCACGTTAAGCAGCCATCGCTATTATCCCAAGATTTAGAACTTGCCAAGCGATTATGGGTGGAATCAGAGAGACTTGTTAATTTCAAATTATCGATTAGCTAAGTAGAAGAGTAAACGAGTGTTATTTATAACTTATTTGTAAATATAGTTAATGATGACTGATTGTCTGATGCTCAATTTTGGATAATATAATTCGATGTTTTAATAAAACTTTACACACTAATCTGGCAATCATTTTTATATAAAGAACAAATCTTTTACATTTAAAACTACAACAGTATATGCATTAAAAACTACATAGTTAACGTTTTCAGCTTGTGATTGTTTTTCGTTAAACATGTAACTGCTGTCGCGTCAAATTATCACGATCAATAAACGTTTCGGGTATTTTTAGATGACGAGATAATTGATAAACGTTAAAATGTAAAGTAACAAACAATTTAGCAAATCCTATGTTTATACAAAAACCTGCAATAAAAATATACTTACATAAGAATAAAAAAAATTAGATAGTACGCTATTCTTAAAACTTTAATATAACCTGGTACCAAAATCCATATGAATATGTCCTTGGTTGGCTATTTATCATGCATGAGCTAACTTTGTACCGGAAACATAAAACAATATGTTCAACAAAAATCATTTGCTATTGTTAACTCAACCTAAATAAAAGAAATTGCCTGATTACTGAAATCAAGTAGCAGAATCCGTATTTTTGCGATATTTGTCATAATTGCAAAAATTGGAAAAAATCCCAATCCGTTTCAATCAATGTTTTTGTTGCTACCGTAACTTTGTTTTGGTTTTCGCAAATCAATGTTTATACTAATTAAATTCTTACAAAGTCACTTCTTAGACACAAATTTTGATAACCCAAATTTCTTAACAATTATTAGAAAGTATATTAAAATGTAAAAGGCCTGAGCTGTAATTGATATTTTCAAACATTAGTTATTTGATGAATATGATGATATGAAAAAACAACAACACTATTAGTTTGTACGTTTGTGTTTTTATATACAATCTGGTATGCCCTAGATTTGCTCAATCAGAGCATTTATAACTCACTAACTGGAGGTATTCCGATCTTATTGCACGTAGATTTTGCTATCGTCATCATCATCATCATTATACTACGGCCGAATATGTTGTTCCCGAATTATTGCCCATTAAACGCTAAAAACATTTAGTTAAATGTAACCTCCTGACAAAAAGTAACTATTCCATAAGTAAATGCTACCAATATTCTTGATTCTAATCTTCTATTATTCTATCATAATTCAAGTAAGTGGTCGTTGAATACTGCAAATGTTGCAAAGGTGATAAAACCATGTTAATTTATGTTTTACATTTAATATTTTATACATAAATAACTTATTACTTTATACATAAAACATTAAACATATACGTGCAAAATAATTAAAATTCACATTATTGTTAAAACGAACCTGGAAAACACGTACTCGATAGGTATAGACATACTGTAATTTTCTTTAAATAGGTAGGAAAGTGTTAGAATTCTTTTGGAAGTTAAAAACCTTACACTTCACACTTCATTAAAATATATGTATTCATTTAAACGTATTTCACTTAAATGTTCATGTATAGATACTGTATTTTATTAATTTAATAATAAGCGGTTCATGCGATTTTAGAAAGTTGTACTTGAAATTTATTGTAATTGCAATAATATATTGCATAATTATCCCTCTTTTAATGTGGTTAGAACAACGCAGAGACAGGTAAATTGCAAAGGTATTGACTGGTTTCGATTTCTACACGGAACACCTATATAAAAGTGAACGTGTTTATATTTATACAATGTTAAGGACATTGTACAAATATTCTTATTATATTCTCAAATATTTTTATTCATAACATTGAAAAATGCACGCTGTACAAAATATAAAAAACCAAGGTATAACTGATTTTTTTTTTATGATCTACTCTCGACACGTCAGTCAAGCAATGTTATTAATCTTAAAGGTCCTCTACCACAACTATTTGCCACATATACGATATTATGCATAAATGTATTTCATGAAAATAGTTTAAATAATCTATCCCCAATTCTGTAAATACAATTTTATTTGGTGATCACGAACGTAACTCCTAACAAAATAGACTTATCAAGAACGGGTTTAGTTAATTATCTTCAGAATAACATAACAACTAGTTACCTATTTAACATCACTAGCCCAGTACCCGTAGTTTAATAAAAAATTTTTACATGTCATTTTTTACATTTTACATTGTCAATGATACGAGTTGTTTTTTGTTTAAAATTGTTTAAAGTGGTATGAGGCTTGCGCTTTTTGATTTTCCTTCTTTCACCATTTATTTTAACCATTTTAATCATTTACCAGCCTTAAGGTTGCACTTCAATAAAGCAACAGCTCTTGAGAGATCGACTTTTTATTTCTAATTGCAAAGTTGTAATTCATTCTGGTTCCGGATCTTTTTAAAGATGTTCTAACAGTCATTCTTGTGAAATCAAATTAAATTAAAAGACAATGCCTATGGGCGGTCTAAGAATAGTACAATAATACAACAACAATGACAATACTTTTTTTTGTATAACTGATATCACGCTCTCAGTCTTTAGACTATTAAGCTTCATCGAACGCAGAACCGGTGGGTTAGCCAGAACCCACGGGTTTGAGGTCCTCTTTGGTGGGTAGGGCCGCACGTACTCATGCGTGCGTTAATTATGGCATTAAGCCTACAGGCCATGGAGGTTCGGTGCAGACCGTGACCCCCATGGCCGTTGACTAAGCTTGGTTAGTCGGTGGCTGGGTGAGAACCGCCCTGGAACGGGGGTGGTTGGTTAGTTTCGCCGTGCTCGAAGGGGCGGTCGAACTATGCTGTTTGTTGATGCACTAACTGGGTGTGTACTCGTAATGTTATTTGGCGGGACCCCCGACGGTGGGTCTGACGTACTTAAGTCCCCTTCCTCGACCGGGCGATGAGGACGTTGAGCGGTCAACGCTTGTTGATATTAGCGTCATTGTTGGGTTAGTAATTTGCTGCGATTACCACCACAGGGTTGGAATGATGTTCAGCTTTGTCGAAGATCCGTTTGGTGAAATATTTAAATGTTCGCGAACCGTCGGGAGTCTAGAGTCACTTGTTGCGTTGATAACGGTGCACTACGCACCAGTTGCGTGGTGGATGAACTTATTTTATACTATTTGCAACTTGTAAAAGAGAGTAGGGTTTACGCATAGGTCATGCATGCATAGGAGATAATAGATCTTACGCAGGCCTTATATAATAATAATTAGTTCATTAAGGGCATTTTATTTGACGCATTGGTTAGATGATAGAGCCGGCCGGAGACGAACGCGGCTCTTTTTCTAATTTCATTAATATGCGATATGAATGTCATGCGTGAGTCGAAAGTGACTCCTAGATATATGACCTTTTTCTCCCAGGGGAGTGGTTAGGCATAAAGAGATATTTTCTCTAGCTTTCTGCATTGGCCAGGACCTTTATAAAGATGTGACGGTTAAATACTTCGTGTGAAATATTTCGCCACACTCTTTTCAGGATTTACTTCTATTTTCCATTTGCTGTACCAAGCGCCGAGGCGGTCTCTCCAAAGTGCCGCCGACTTTGGAGACGAGTAGTGAGTAGATTAAGATTTTTATCTGTGTAAAATAGCGCCGTGTCATCCGGAAAACCTGCGAGATTGACGTGCGGATCTTTTGGTATGTCGCTCGTGTAGAGCGTAAAAAGCAAGGGGGAGACCTGAGAGCCTTAAGGAACGCCCGCAGTGTGAGGGCGGTTCGTACATAGGGGGGCACCCTATCTACTCGGTATCGAAAGGAGCGATTCAACAAGAAGGTCCGGATGGTGTGCATGAGTCTGTCTGGCACGTTGAGTGCGAACAGCTTGTAAAGCAAGCCGTTGTGCCAGGCCTTGTCGAAAGCTTTTGCGACATCGACGAAGGGAACTCCGATGCTCAGGTGTTTGGGGTGATAAAGGCTTACAGAATGTGTTCCGTCAGGCGGTCTATTTGGTCGGGACAGGGGACTAGCTAGAAAGCCGAATTGTTCAACTGGCACAAGGCCGTTTGAAAATATGTACTCTTTCAGTCTATTTAATATGAGCTGCTCGAAGAGCTTCCCCAACCAATTGAGGAGGACGATACGTCGGTAACTATTATTACTTATTAGCGGGTTTTTCGGCTTGCAAATGCCGATGGCGGTGGCCTTTTTCTAGTGGTCCAGGAAGGAGCAGCTGGAGAGAAGTGTATTGAAAATGATCGCCTGTATGCAGATAAGTGGCCCAGCGAGAGATTTTAAGACTTTATTACTAATTTTATCTGGGCCTGGGGCGGATTTGGGTTGAAATTTTAATGATATCTTGGACCTCTTCGGGGTCACTGAGGTTAAGGTTCGCCTACCGGTGGTAGCGCAGCCCTAATTTCGATTACACGATCCACCTCCATTAGGTAGCCTGTATCGATGTGTTCGCGCGATGGCGTACATTGCTGCTCTAGGTTGTCCGCAAGACATTCCGCTTTTTCGGAGTCATCTAGGGCTAGTGAAACCCTATTAGGTATTTCTAATGATGGCAGAGATTCGTGGGGTTCTGCTTTCAAACTACGGACCAACCGCCAGTTGGCGGTGTGCGGTGGCTCGGCTGTCTTCTAGTAGAGCGTCCCAAGTGATTTGGAGTTGTTCCGATACGCGATCTTTGACTTCTAGCTGAAGGCGTCGAAGTCGTGACAATACTTATCTCATGCTCTAGACGTGTAAGAAAACTCTAAAAAAAAGACAACATTTTTGCATAC